TTTCCCAGTGGGATCTTCTGTGAAAAGCAGTCTCTGTAGAGATTGAGCCTCGTTGCATTGTTCCTGAGGAACTTGTCGCAATTGTCATGGATGGCATTACAGATTATTTTCATTTCTCACATGCTTATTCTTATTATAGTAACCATTTCTGAGTTCCTTCTATTTGCCAGGCAGGTGCCAGGTGCTGAGGACAGAACACTGAGGGACGCAGACAGACCGCGAGTTCCTAACCTCCTGGAATATTACGGACGAGAAAAGTGACAGGAACCCTGAGTGTAAGATGTGCCTTGATTGGGACACTGGATGTGCTGTGGTAGAATATAAATAAATACCTCCCAGACTTTCAAGCTGAAACCCAAAGGATAAGTTATTGGCTTTATTATTATTTTTTTGCAACATACTGCTCATGTAATTTTTTAAAAGCCCACAAGTTTGCAATGTTTCTCGATGCCTGAGTTACCCATGGTTTCTCTATTGAGATGTTTAAGTTATCTCTCAGGGACACAGATGCCATAGTGCACTCACATCGCAGGACAGAAGCCTAGGAAGGGAAAGGACTGCTCTATTTTCTCGTCTGTAGGTGCGGAAACAGACAAGACAATCCAGGCTTCCTGGGGCTGGCGTGGTGATGGGGAAGGAAGGTGCCTCTTGAGGCCCCCAATGATTCCTCTAAGACAGTGCAAACAGATCATTTCGCTGTTCTATTTATGTACTAGCCTGAGTTATGATGTTTGAAAGTTTAATATGTAGATTCTTCTAAAAAAATCTTCAGTATCTAATTTCCTCAGAAGGAAATCACTCACTTAAAACAATTAACCACTTTATAAAAGGCCCACCTCAGTCGATCTTTTTCCTGCCTAAAAAAATCCTTTAAGAATTCAAAGATATTTGCAGATTATCTTCTAGTCTAATTAAATAGGAAATTTATGATTTCCCTTGTGTAGTGCAAACCCCAAGTGTACAGAGTTCACATAGCTTTGCATGACTTCCTTTCCTTCCTGGGATGTATTAATGCTAATTAGTAGAAATCAACTGTGGTAAGAAGTGAATGGTTATGTACAGAATTCGAAAATTCTAGATGTCTCAAAGATATGCAGCCTTGGCTGGGTAGCTCAGTTGGTTACAGCAGAGACCCAATACACCAGAGTTGTGGGTTCAATCCTTGGTCAGGGCACATGCAAGAATCAACCAATGGCCCTGGCTGGTGTAGCTCAGTGGATTGAGCACGGGCCTGTGAAGCAAGGGGTCGCCAGTTCGATTCCCAGTCAGGGCATATGCCTGGGTTGCAGGCCAGGTCCCCAGTAGGGGACACATGAGAGGCAACCATGCATTGATGTTTCTCTACCATTCTTTCTCCTTCCCTCCCCCACTCTCTAAAAATAAATATTTTTTTTAAAAAGAATCAACCAATGAATGCATGCATGTGTAAATGGAACAACGAATTAATGTTTTTCTTCCTCTCTAAAAATCAATATATTTTTAAAGAAGTTATGCAACACCCACTTAGACAGAACTCAATAGCATTTCAGTCCTGGCTCTGCCAATAACTAGTATGATTTGGGACCATTATTTTTCTTTAAAAGTCTCAATTTCCTCAGCTGTGAAAGAGAGAGTTAGTGTGTGTAAAGCAGTGCGGCTGACGCGCAGAAAGGGTTCGGTGAGTGGTAAATGCCACTCCGCCAGGTAAAGAGGTGGAAGTCACAGGACTGGGGACTGATTAGATACGGGAGACACACAGGGACGAGGCAAGGAGGGCCTGTGAGCCCCGGGGGGGGGACAGACGGTGGAACTACGGGCAGGTTGCCCTGCACGAGTCAACAGGAGCAGATTCAGGGGACACTGTGGCCAATCTTCCATTTTGGGTACAATGAGTATGAAGTGTCAAAATATCCACTGACATTTCATACTCACTGTACCCAAAAGACTGGGATCACCAACAAAGGCAAGGTTAAAGCTGCCATTATTGCTGATTGAAAGGGAACCATATGTAGAAATGATAAATATAATGAAAAGGCCTAAACTTAAAAAAAAATTCTGTGGAAGAAAATTAGTGACAAAGAATAATTAAACCTACATCTCTTTAAGGAAAATGAATACAGTAAAAAGTGATGTCACACAAATGCCACTGGGTCAGAGGGGTGTCCCCATCACACAGGACACAGGGTCCTTCGTGGTGTCTCTGGGAACACAGAGCAGAACCTTTGTTCCTTTGTCTTCCAAGAGCCAAGCCAGGGGTTCCCTCAGGTGGTGGTGGTGGGGGAACCCTGCCCTCCCCCGCCCCCACAAACGCCAAGTAACTTTTCAAGTTGTAAGTAGAGTGGGAACCAAAATATCACAGGACCCGAACTGTGACTAGCAAGCAGCAGACAAGATGACACAATCCTTGCCTTTCCTGAGAGAAACCTGGCTCACACCCTCGCTGTTGGCTAGTCGCCTCACCGATGGGTCGCACAGTCCCTTCCGCTCCTTGCTCTATTGCAACACTGCAGCCTGGGTGTCTAGACATACACCTAGGATTATATGTATAATTGTATTTGCTGAGTTAAAGAGGTTCCCATGTTAGTAAGTTTACGTAAGTGAAAACCATGTTTGTACTAATAACGACTAAAAAAATGTGTTTTAGATGGGATAAAAATGAACAAATCTTGAGTCCACCCTGCTGTTTTAAGTCAGACTCTTCATTCTGAAGCAGTTGTTCTGGCTAATTAGGATCCCGTTGATGGGTGCATGGTGCTAAGACGTGCTCTGATGAAACTTCGGCTGAGCTGCCAACAAGCTTCTCCCCCGCTACCTGTGCTCTAGTCACAGGGCACGCCTCAGCTTCCAGACAGGTCACAGCCCTGGCTGGCTCCCAGACACCGGTCGTTTGGCTGACAACGTGGCCAGTGTGCAGAAACCCCCTAAGTGCATCCCGTGGGCGTGGGGACATCCTTGCAATGCCTTTTTCCTTCCCTTTAGAACATGTATCTCAAGTATCTGAGCTGCCAAAAACCCATTTCACACAGTCGCGGGCACTGTTTCTGGTGCTCATTAGGTGCGACGGCGGGGAGGCCTGAAGCAGCCGAGCCTGCACTTCTGGCTGGCCAGTCTTTTCATGTGTTATTCTTTCAATACCCTGGCACGGACACCTGCCTTCTCAATGCCCCAGCACATCAGACTGCCCTACGTGACCTGCAGCAGTGCTACTCCATCCTGTGGAAGTCAGTCTCCAGACCAGCTGCCAAAAGAACGTATCTTTTAAAAAAGTGGAAATACTGTTTTTATAGTCTCGTTAGTTTTCCACTACAAAAACTCAGTTTGCACAGCAGGGGGTTCTTTTTTCCCCCTGAAAGCATAAATATTTCAAACAGTACATCTCTCTATGGAGAAAACCACTTCAACAGTTACAAACAAATCTAGAAAGATGGTCTATTGAGATCATTACTACAAATGAGTGGTGATGAAAGAACCGAGGGTGGAGAGGACAAAGGAAATAAGGTGTGCCTTGCTTAGGCAGTCAAACTAAACAAACGTTTAGGGCCAGAACAGAGTAAGAAAGGGTTGGCGGGGGAAGAAAGGAGGGGTAAAGTGTCTTAGATTCTCAGGGACAACAGGATAGGGGCAGGGGCAAGGACATCAGACTTGGGGGAATGCTGCCCATAATGTTTATGTAGGAAGAAGGTACAGAAAGGGGGAGGGCAAGTAGTCTATCAGCCTTCCAACCCATTCGACCTGGTATTCTGGAAACCTGAGATGGCATTCTGGAAATCTGACTAGGTTGGTTAGCGGAAACTCAGTTTCTAGGGTAGGCTGATCACAATCCAAGCCAAAAGGTATTAAGTTTTCCTCTTCTCTCTGCCCCATTAAGGAGCCTTAAAACATTCTCTCTGGCATGAGCAGATTACTGGTGGGTCCACTTGCATACCTTGTGGACCTTAACAGAAAGGTTTACGGGTTATTAAGATGAAAAAAAAAAAACAAAACAGTGAGCTCTCATCAGTCAAGTGACTGAGAAGAATACAGGTGTGAGAATTGAGAAAGTAATTGTTTCACTGTAGAAAAAAAAGAAGAGAAAGAAGCTAGATATTAAAGTGGAATTTAAAATACATTTAAAAGACAGACATTTACCTGGATTGGCAATGAGACAAAGACCCAATGAACTGCTGAGGCCATGGGATGTGCTCTGCAGGGCCACTGAAATCCAAACATCAGTCTCCCCGCAGTGGAGACAAAAATGACAGGTCCTTACTTCAGAGGTAGACAGGGAGGCAGCTTTGGAACTGAGCTTGTGTTACACTGTTAAGAAAAAACCAGCAGCACCAGCACCATATGGGATCTCTGAGTAGGACGTAATACCCTGATGTCTATGGTGCTATTCGAATGTCACACAAACAAGATCCTCTGAGACCTTGTGCCACTCTTCACACTGCAAAAACTACTATGCAAACACAAACTATGGATACTAACATGCAAATAACTGATGTCCTATGTGCCTTACACAGGGATCAGTAACTGATAGGCCTTTTTTCCCTAACAACCCTTATTATGATTAACTTAGTGTGAATATTATGGACATAAATCTTCAACAAATATAATTTCTTAGATAGGGTTTATAGAGAGTATGAATGAGATATACCATAAGAGACAGCTGAAGCTGATTCTCATGAATACTCTCACCTCCCACCTCTTAATTTTTAACCTTCCTTTGAATATAGTAAAATCTGTACTACTTATTAATAGTGTAGTATGGACACAAAAAAAGGGGTTGTATGCAAACAGCTGAGCACACACAGCTTGGTAGAGGCTGAGGGTTCGAACATTGGAAGCTCAAGTCTATTAATCTTCATTTCTCTTGGCCTGAGATGTTCTATGTCATCAGCACTGGAATATTAAAAAATGCATGCGTGCGACAAGCCGTAAAGCTCCTCTGCAGTGAAACCACGTGCATCTGCAGTCGTGTGAGTGGGAAGGGTCCCTCGACACAATCAATCATTGCAGAGTCAGAAGAGTCTTTTCTTGGGTGTGGTCAAATCTCACTTTAATCGTAAAAGCATTCATTTACAGCACATTGGAAAATGAACAAACAGGAGAGCCGTGACCCTTGAGTACACGAATATATAAAAACCCCTTGGAACTTGGGTAATCAAGATAAGGGCGTTCCTCCAGGAAAGTACCCCTCCTCCTTTTTTTGAAGACTGCTATGCACTCATTTTGGAAGATGACTAGATATACTTGGGAGTTCAAAGTAGTAAGATGTGCCTTGCAGGGAGAGAAAAAAACCTGTTATATAATTAGCTAAACACATTTTCAGCGATGCCACAAGACAGAGTGAAATGGATGTCCTCCTTAAATCAGGCCAGGGCACAACACTCAGGGAAAGGCAGCCCTGGGCAGGGACAGGAACACCAGGTATCACGCTGCCCAAACACATCAGCTCACCCCTGTGACTCAGACGCGACACGCCATTCCATGGCCTCAGAACAGGGTGCACATGAACAGCCACAGTAGTGACCGCTCCCGCACTGCTGGGGATTGTCCAACGATCCCAATTTAACCCTGGCCAGAACACTCAAATGGTCACTGAATTTAAGCCATAAAGGATCTAAAGGAACTTCCTGTTTTGTTTATACATATATACGGACTCCTATTTACCTAACTGGAGCAATGATTCACAATTAACATCCTTGTTCTCATAAGGGTTTCTTCTACATACTGAAGTGTCTAATTTTGATTTTATTTTACACTTTCAAAAGAGAAAGAGGAAACAGAGAAAAAAATATGACTAACTCATCAACTTTTGGGGGTCTGATATGTACAAAACTAGACAGACTTCTGTGACTCGAGGTTCATCTGGATTGTTGGGTAGTTTCAGTGCCCAGGAAGCCCAGGGAGGTCTAGGGAAGCCTCTTCTACTCGATCCCTACAGAAAGAACTCGACGGTTAACCTATCAGAGTGCTCAGCTAAAGCATACATCTAAAACTACAGAGGGTTTCAACTTAATGTTAAAAATTTTAAACTGGAACCTTTCAGAAACAAATAAGCTCAGAAAGCTCATCCTAGAAATGAAATTAAGGAACTATTGCTCTGCTGTCTGAAAAGTCAAGGTCATGCTCAGCTCTGCCCACTTGCAGGCTTAGGCAGACACATAAGGTGGCGGTGGCTCCTTGGCAGCGCCAGTCACAGTAGCATCATCGTACGGGGGCAACAGCACCTAAGAAAAAGAGAAGACAAGGGTTAGTGTTGAAAAGTGCACCTATGTTCCACCCTGAGCTTTAACTTCAATTGGACTTTTCATGTAGTTAAATGTTTTCCATAACCTGTATCAATTTCAGTTTTTCAGCAAGTGGCTAGACTTTAATGAGAGGCTTTATGAATCTTCAAAGAAGCAAATGGGAAGAGACTTTTGGCCTTTTCTGAGTTTTCCAAACCCGTTCATATGTGCCTGGAAGGCCAGAGGGCTACGTGACTAGGACTGGAAAGGAGGCAGTGGCAGCTCTGAAGAGGACAAAGGGCTCCTGCGTGTTACGTCCCTCTGCACAAACAAGTAGGGGAAGCACCTGACTACAGGAACAGGGCATCCAAATGGGAGTGGAACACGAAAGGGCCTGGGCTTCAATCGGGAGCTAAGGCCTGGCTCAGCCATACTTTGTCAGGGTGGTCTTGGGTGAATTATGTAATCTCAACTTCCACGTCTGTAAAACAGGGATGCTTCAGACTGACAGGTCTACAAATACAGTACCTAATACACTGCGTGATGCACACCTGCAATGGCAGGTACTGTTACCTCTGTAAATGGCTGGAAAAAAACAAATGAGAACAAGCACTAAATTGATAACCTCTCTGTTCACATTTCTAGTACAAAAACAATTACTTGTGATTGCTTATGAACTGTCAACATAAGAAAACACTGAGTAATTTGGGCTTTCTCAGAGTAGAAAACAAAAAAGAGAGTATCAACTCAGTATAAATAACCTTTTAATCAGTCAACTAACATTTAGCATGTGCCTACTATGTGACAGGCATTGTGGGCATAACTAAAATAAAACACAGTTCCTACCCTTGGGAACTCAGATGAGATGAAATAAAATGTTACCCACTTCAAATGCTTTGTGAAAAGAGAAAGAATATTTGCAAATGGAAAGAATGAAAACAAAACATTCCGTTACTCTTTCTATTATGGACATCACTTAAAGTGGTAAATGTTTGTCGATTTCATCGATTTTTCATTTACCTACCCTTTGATTCCTAGAGGGACAACACAATTAAAATATTAAGATTTTGTCATCCCTACACTCACAATCACACACACACCCTCTCCAACTTATACTTCACTACCTATCTCTTTCTTCTTCCAGTCTTGAAGCTTGTCTTAGGCAGAGCCCAGTTTGGTCCAGTACTTATATGAATGCAAGAACTCAGAAGCTGCTGGTGGAATGACTTATCATCACTCAGGTGTCCCACAGAGAATCTATGTGGTTCATTTGGTGGGGAAATGGAGCCCAGCATTCTAGGCATCTATAGTAGTTAGGGTCCCGTCTGGGGATAGACAGCACCAGTAATTTGAAAAGAGAAAGTTATTAATGGGATTGGAGGGGAAAGAGCTAAGAGGGGTGGGACAGGGCAGGGACAGAACTCTAATAGATATTAGTGCTGAGTGAGGGCCGAAGGGAAGAACCAGTACAGAAAGGGGTCCCCTCCCCAAAGCGGGGAACTGAGCATCATTGGAGGGGTGGTCCATAGAGAAGTTTTCGGGGCTGAACCAGCCCAGAGCTGGTCCACAGTCACAGTCAGCAGGCTGAGGCAGGTGTACAGGAGCCACCTGCTGGGACACTGGGAAGCTGCTGCAGGGTGCTGCCAGAAGCTGTTCACAGGGAGGTGCCACTTGCCCTGGAAACTGCCTGGGAGCAGGTGCTTGCTGGGTAGACTGTCAAGGAGGTGTGGTTGGCACTGTTCCCCCCCAACGCCGAGGCACTGCCAACAGGATCCAAACGCTCCACAGGTGCACACCAGAGCCAGAAGAGAACCCCTTCCTCCTCCAGCACCCTCCACTGACAAGACTTAACAGTGGGTTGGCTGGTAAAGGAGGAATATTTACATATGACACTCAGCTCCAATCAGGCTAAACTTGGGGAGCTAGAAGTGGAAGTGAAGTGGCCACACAAGCAAGATCAAGGCCTGAGATCGCTCCTGTCTGCTTCACAGCCTCTGTCCCAAAAGTGGTGGTGGCACTGTGCCTGTAGCCTAAGTCCTTCATACTTCAGGCATTACCCAAGGTACAGCATCGAGGCCAGTGCTCAATTGTTGCTCTGCAGAAAGGAGTACCCACAACACACTCAGCACAAATGCCTGTCCAAGGCCAGGAAGCACTCCCAGTGTTCTCCCCAGAGAAGGAAACCATCTGCAAGGGGCATGGCAGGGCACTCGGCGACGGTGACACAAACCTGAACCCACTCCACAGTCTGTGAAGGAACTGACAGTCCAGCGGGAGCAGGTGACCTGCGCGTGACCAATGCGTGGACAAGACGTTCAGGAAGAACAGACAGGGACAAGTACTTTGGGTGGACAGGGGAGGGGAGTCCTCTCAGGAAGATAAGTAGGATCAGGCAGAGGGAAGATGACAGTGTAGGCAGAGGCAAGAGCACAGGTAAGGGAGGGAAGCTTGAGAACAGAACACCTTCTGGGGACCGAAGGCTCCGTGAAGGTGAACACTTAGGGGACATGCCACGGAGAGAAAGTGGGTATCAGCACGGAGAGCCTGTGACCACCTTACAGAGCTTTATCCAGTACCCAGCAGCCGTGTCTCCACTAGGAATCCCGGAAGTTTCACCCTTAGTGGAGGAAAAGTGTGTATTCTTTGCAACAAAGCCACCGCTCTCCTCTCTGCAGTGGCATGTCTGGCTTTAAAACTGGGCCCCCAGCACATGCGTGAGTGACTACACACTCAGTGTTAACTTATAACCAGGGGAAACAGCTGTCATCAGCACCAGAATATTAAATTCTGCATGAAAGAACCTCAGCACTGTGCTCCCCAACCTCATTAAACAACTACCTGACTCATATCTATCAGTACCCTGGGAGAAATTACCCTTAAACATAGTGGAGCTACAGAAAAAGCAGAAAAAACAGCCATCATGGCCAACTTTTTTTCCTGTGCAAAATGCAACAGTCAAATTCTCCAACACATTCACAGAAGATTAAACATAAAATTTTTTTGAAAAGGGAAAAAGAATGCTGGAAATTTGCCTTTTGTTTGTCACTATTTCTTGCTATTTATTTTCAAATGTAAAGTTTCATCCTCACGTCAGTTTTTAACATCCTAATGGCATTACCATGGACTAAGTGCCGACTGTAAAACATCCTTCATGCGGCTCATTCCACAGGCTCCTGGACTCCTGTCAGGGAAAAGCTCTCCAACTGGTTTTAAGTTCTGAAGGGGCAGTGTCATCTTTTTTTAATCTAAAAGATGTTAATATTATTAATGATTTCCAGGAAGGGCTGGTGAAGTAAGAATTGTTACAATCTGACTAAATAATCTTGACTGGGGGTGGAGGGATGGAGCAAAAAGGAAAAAGGACTCATGGACCTGGACGTCAGTATGGTGACTGACAGGGGACAGAGAATATAAGGGGACTAATGGTAATGGAAACACAAGTCACTGCCTGGTAAAAACAGCAGCTGCTCACTGAGTAGATAAACACAGACATGTTACAAATCTCAGCCACACACCACACTTCAATATACAATATGACCAAATTCTAATCTAAGTACAGTCCCTGGAGGTTTGTTTTACAGAATCTCAGCCACAGAGTGTCTTCATAATGGTATTAACTCTTTTCCACAGATGGAAAAATGCCTCCTGCCAGTGACCCCAGAAGGCCCCTGTTCACTAGGGAGATCAGCATCTGTCTATCTACACTGTCTCTTTAATTGGGCGTTGTCAGGTAGGTGACAGCGTGCTGGTGGGAATGCAGCTTATCATTCATTTCAATTCAGCTCAACAAATATTCAGAGCGTTACCAGGGGAAACATCATGCTTCTTAGCTACATCAACATACAGAACAATTGGAGAGGGGAAAATTATCATCAGAGGTAGTAAAAAAGTGATTCCTGCCGGCCATATATACGCAGCTCATTAAAATTTGGGAAACTTGTTCATTCCATCAAATATTAAGAAACAATAAAATGCTCAAGAGGGAAGAACTATTTATTGGTAAAAAAGAAAATGTTTGGGTACTCTGGTTAGAGTTGGACTTTTACTGTATTATTAGAGTTAAGCCATTAAAGGCTCCTTCGGAATTCTATAGTTGCTAGGATTACATTACTAAAATGCTTTGCATAGAAGTTACATAAATGTCTTCAGACATTCACTAAATTACATGCCAAGTTTTATGTTTGTTCAGTTATTTTCCCAGGGAGAGTAGAGTGTTCAGAGCTTTCACCAGATTCTCAAAGAAGTGTCCCTGGAGATTTCGGAGTCCAGGGCGGGGTGGGGGAGGGTGGCGGCACAAAACACAAGGTAAACCATGGCAGCAATCTGCTTGCTGCCCTCCACGTGGTCATATGGGTGAGGGAAGTTAAAACAAAGTCAGAGCCGGGGACGACAGCTGTGTGGCACCTCATCTATCTTGCAGCAGTAAGAGAGGCCCCAAGAAAGAAACAAAACTCATAGGTTGTTTTAGAGTCAAACATAGAAAATAATGTTAACAGGTAATGATTGACAGATCTGACAGCTACAGAGAAAGGACTGGGATAGGTAAAAAGTTAAAACAAAAAAAAGACAAAAGGACAAACCAAACTTGGCAGCTGAAAAAACAAGGCAAACCTTTGCTGGGGGAAAACAAAAACTGTATGAGAAGGAGACGATGGGACCAAAAATTTGGTGTGACTACATTAGGAAAATGAAGGCCTCAGAGAATACAGGGAGGGCAGTAAGAGACAAATGCTATTCAACAAGTAGTCAAAAGATATCTCAAGTTAATAATAAAAAATTAGCAAGTGTGACATAGTATTTTATAATGGGTGAATACTAAAGGAAGCATGTAAGAGTTGAAAGTGGCAAAAATTGGGTGAAATTTGGAGGATGGACAAGAAAACAGAGGACAATTAAGAAATAAATCTTTCAATATTATACATGTAACACTGTGTTAAAAATAAAATTAATACTGAAAAAATTAAAAAATAATCATGGCATTCCAAAAGTAAAGAGGAAGT